ATATCGCTGCTATTTCGCCGTTTAACAACATGATGAGGTCGACTTGCGGCTAAAGACAGGAATCTAGTCCGGCTTGTGATTGGCTAATCCCGATGTCAGAAAATGGCGGAATTTGGATCATCGGGTCAATATCGTACTATAATCGGGCACGCTCGTGTTACAATCGATATAAAATCGTGCTGTTATCGAGAGTGTTTACTGAGCTATATAATCATTCCTTAAAATTTCTGAAATTTTATTATAACTCAGTAAGTGTATATAATATATTTATGATAGAAATGTTAAGTCAAAGGTAAGTGTTTTTAATTAATGCAGGGCTTAATAATTCATTTGCATATCGCTTTTCTTTGCGAAAACAAAGACCCGTTGAAAACGAATGATTGTATAATTTAGGTAATTAATAATGACCCTCCCCCCGATAGTGTAGCTCTTTTCTATTTCCACTTTCCAGATTACGGAAATTGATGTAAAATAATCTGCAGAAATCAGAGAATCTGTAAGGTGTTCCAGGGGGGGGGGTAGTTACATAGATTTTCACGAATGGGGGGAGAATCAGTGGCGTAGCCAGCATTGATAATTGGGGGGGCCCATATTCATATATTCACAATGACAGACTGTAAAGACAATCGATTTCAAAAGAAATTAATCCTGCGTGTCACGAATATAGCCTGCAAACAGGCATGCGGACATTGCAGGTGGACAGTGCAGTGAGTGAACCGTGTAATCGGTGCATATTTCATGGTGGTATTAATCGTTCTGGAAAGAACGATTCAACTTTGTTTTTTTACTGTTCAAGTTGGGCACAAAGTATTACAACTGACATTATATCAAATAAATTCCTTCAAATCTAGTTTCACCCTAGAATTACATTGTCATTGAGTATTTATATTAAAGGCCCGTTTACACTTGCAACTTTTTCTGCGATTCTATGTGAGATTTTCTTCCTTTGAAAAATGCGAACGAGTGGATAAGTCACGGATGTTCACATAACAGTGATAAGACACGATACAGACTTTCATAAATCTTTTACCGTGGGTGCGTTTATATGAATCAAATGAATCAAATCGGTAATTTACAATGTTTACATCAATTCCGATAACAGCACGATTTTATATCGATTGTAACACGAGCGTGTCCGATTATAGTACGATATTGACCCGATGATCCGATTTCCGCCATATTCCGACCTCGGGATTAGCCAATCACAAGCCGGACTAGATTCCTGTCTTTAGCCGCAAGTGATGTGGTCGTGTATGGGCGCGTTGACACGTCGCGTAGTTTGCACAGGATCGAAGATTTAATACAACTATATAAGCGCGAATTCCAAAGGCAAAGTGTAAGACGAAGCGAATGTATCATGCGGTTTATTTACATTTTTGAACAATTGAACTTCTATACTGCGATGTGCTTCTGAATTTCGCGATCGAACATTTAGGTTCGTAAGGCATCTAATGCGAATATGTATGCGAAACAATACGCGAACTGTATTGTTTCGAACAGAAGCTCTATATTGAAGACTGGCACGTGCGCCGGAGTTAACGCCAGAACGGCGTCTTGTTACTGCAAAATAACATTTCTCAAAAATCTACTGGAAATATCAGAAAAATGTTTAATTTGGTTCCAGCTCACTCCGTTCTCCCGTCAGCTCGTAACAAATTCATTTCTGCAAATTCATTCAATTCATTTCTGCAAAAACAGCACCAAATTCCAGGAATTCCTGAGTCCAGACCAGTCCTGACAGGAAAGGACGCGTCTTATGCAAACACTTTATAATGAAGAGATATTTGTCCTCATAAACTGATCATTTTGGAGAAGATTTCGAGAAAATACAAACACAGACATCTTCAAGAACGAACACTGTATCTATATTCAGTCTATACAGCGAGGTTTATACTACAGAGCGACAAACAACAAAGAACTTGTTTTATTATTACGACACAAGAACGACGTGAAATATGGCTTCATATATACAAGGCTACGATGAAGAAAGGTTTGCGAACCAAATCGATCGAAATTTTCATTGTCAGATTTGCTTCAACGTCTTGAAAGAGCCGGTTATGTGTTCGAGAAACCAGCATTCTTTTTGCCGTTGTTGTATTACGAAACATCTGGAAAATTCTCAAACATGTCCAACGTGTGCTGATGAACTGACCGTAGAGACTTTGGCCGAACCACCGCGAATGGTAAAAGATTTTTTAAATGAATCGAAAATTCGTTGCGTTTACATCGACAGAGGTTGTCAAGAAGTTGTAGAAGTACAGCATCTTGACCGCCATGAAGATACATGTGGATATACACCAGCCGTTTGTACAAACCAAGGCTGTGGTTTAATTGTCAACAAGCGTGATCTTATTCGCCATGAAAGTGAAGTCTGTGAATTCCGAAAGTTGAAGTGTCACTCGTGCGGAGAAATGACGAAAACTTTGGCAGATATGAAGGAAAGAATGGCGACGAATAATGTAACAATTGAAACTAAAATAACAAATTTGGAGAAAAATGTTGCCACTGTTGCAAATAATATCGAGAAAAACACGGCAGATATAAAAGCAGATATGGAGGGAAAAAACGAAGCGGTTAACAACAAAGTCGATGGATTGAAAACAGCTTTGGTCAGAGCTTTTGATGAAATAAAGGACGTTCTTATCACGATGGAGGGCAAGATAGAAGAAAACACAAGAAAAGTAAGAAATAGACCAAGTGGTGATAAGGAAAATACAATTGTTGCTGGAGGTTTATTGACTAACTCTGTAGAGATGTTTAACTGGCGTCAAAGAACATGGTCGCCATTACAATCAATGCCAAAGAAACGTTATGGAGCGACTTCATTTATTTATAACAATGATATGACTATAGCTGGGGGTGGCTGTGGTGGGTCTGACATTGTTGATGATATGATTAGAATGAATATTGACCCAAACCCTGATCTCACAACACACTGGAGTGACTGTCCTGTTAAACTACCTGATAAGTTGAGATACCACAGCAGTGTACTGTATAATGATCAGTTGATGGTTTCTGGAGGTGAAAAGAGAAATTGTTCATCTAAGTTGATCAGAGCAGTCCAGCTTGTTCCTCCCTATACGGTGAAGACCTTATCAAGAATGCCAGAACCAAGGCAAGGTCACAGCATGGAAATATTTGATGATAATTTGTTGATAGTTGGTGGAAGAACAACTGGCGGATACAAAGACAACCTCAGCAGCGTCGTACTGTATGATATAAAGAAGAATGAGCTGAAACAGTTGTCACCACTGCCGTATGAAGTGAGTGTTATGGCAACTGTGAGATGGGGAGACAACATTCTTGTTATTGGTGGTGAAGACAAACATGGCAAGACATTAGATACAGTTATCATTTACAATGTCAAGACAGAACAAAGTCACATGCTGCCATCAATGAGATGTAAGAGGAGGGGATGTACTGCAGTTGTTATTGAAAACAACATTGTAGTCCTGGGAGGGAGGGGTGAGCAAGGACACCTGAAGTCAGTTGAAGGTTTCAACTTTGAAAGGTATTCTTGGGAAGAACTTCCAGAAATGTCTAAAGCAAGATCGTGGCACACTGCTGTTATTGTGTGAACCATATGCAAAGTATTAATTGAAAACTCCTAACATATTATGAACAGTTGAAATGAACAGTAAGATTTTCACAGTTATAGAAATAGATTGTAGCATTCTAAGTTGACTGTCAGACATATACTGATTTGTATTTTTGTGTTTGAATTTAAATTGTGTCAGTTCTTAGAATTATATATTAAAGAACAATAACAAATCTATGAAATAGATTTTTTCATCGGGGAAGGTTTAAAATGAAACACCAAATAAAACATTTGAAATAATATTTTATGCACCCCCTCCACATAGGTTTTTCACCACCATTCCCTCCCTCCTAGGTTTTTCACCCCCTCCCTCCCACAGGTTTTTTCACACCCCTCCTACCACCTAGGTTTTTTCATTCACAACCCCACCCCTCCCACCTAGGTTTTTTCAGCCACAACCTGATCCCTCCCCACCTGGGTTCTTCTGCCCCAGCTAGACCAAGAATCCTGAGCCTCTGGCTCCATAGGAAGCCCAGACAAATGAGTCGGCCATTTACTATACAACTAGTGACGTAACTTACTATATTGTTAGGAAGGAAAAAAACTCTTGCCTCATTTTTCAACATGTTGACAAATTAAAACACAAATTACTATAGTAAAACGGCACGTCGACTGCTAAATGCCTACCGTAGGTTTAAGTTGAATAATCAAACTATACTTTTATAATAAAAATAGTGCTGAATTCAAAGGAAAGCGCTGGAAAAACGTACACAAACTTTGTAAATTTGCCGAAATTTTCGTGAATACATGCGGGATGTAAGTACGTACCCAAATCGGCGACGGCAGAAGAATCTGATTGGTCGAGAAACGTAAACAAAGTATGATCAACCAATCTGATTGGTCGTGAAAGGTAAACAAAGTATGAACGACCAATCAGATTCTTCTGCCAGCCACCATTTTGGATACGTACTTACATCCCGCATGTATTCACGAAAATTTCGTCAAATTTACAAAGTTTGTGTACGTTTTTCCAGCGCTTTCCTTTGAATTCAGCACTATTTTTATTATAAAAGTATAGTTTGATTATTCAACTTAAACCTACGGTAGGCATTTAGCAGTCGACGTGCCGTTTTACTATAGTAATTTGTGTTTTAACTTGTCAACATGTTGAAAATTGAGGCGAGAGTTTCCTTCCTTCCCAATAATATAGTAAGTTACGTCATAGATTTGTCTGGGCTCCTATGCTGGCTCAAGAAATAGCTCAGCTACCTATTTTAAATATCAGCCTGTCTGTAAATGATGTCTGTGTCTGTCAGACTGCCACAGACCAAGTCATATTTTAAAATTTAACAATTAACAAGATTTGGAGAGATAGTTTTACTCTTTATTAAAACAAAACCATGATTAACTAATATAAATTGGTTTGTCAACTAAAATAAAATTCTTGTTTCAAGTTTGCTTACACATTGTTTTGTAATTTCACGTTTTCCATCGCATTCTTGAAGGCTTTTAGTACAAGATTTACATTATCTTTTGTACTGTTCAACCCCATCAGACCAACACGCCATATCTGAAAAATTTCACCACAAAAAGTAAGGTTTTTCACAGGGAAAATGTTTACCATTATGGAGTGAATATCTGCGAATATGGAGAAGAAAATTGTGAATATGGATACCTTTCCAGCAGATCTTCCAAGACCACCTGAAATATCCATTTTATATCTGAAAAAGAAATTCATTATTCAATTTTAACACTCTCCTCTTTACTGGACCTCTATTAATCACCCCCCTGCAATTATTAAAAATATACATGTTAGCAGGGGGGGACATATTCCCAAGATTCATCCCTCAGCAAGTACCGTAAACGGAAGCTGTAACCCCCCTGCCCGTATTAAAAATGGGGCAGTTGACAGGGGGTGATTGCCTCCATTTACCGTACTTGCTGAGTGATGGAACCACTTATGCAAAAAACTATGGAGTTGTTCTTCGTCTTACAAGGTCAAGGAAAACAGGAAACTCGTCTTACAGGGGAAACTCCTCTTGGAAACTCATCTTAGACGGGAAACTCGTCTGATGTGAATCAGGCTACAGACGGGTTTCTCCTCAGAATTTTCCCGCCTAACTTTCCCGCCTAACTTTCCCGTCTAAACAAACGGTTAATTTGAACGGAAATCCCTTCTGGACGAGAAACTCGTCCTAAATTCGCATTTAGACGGATGAATCAGATGAGTTTCTGAAATATCAACACGGTCAAGGACGGAACAAGGGTAAAGCCCGCCGCACAAGAGAGCTATCAGCTGAGCTAACGACCTCGCGAGGCAGTTAACTCAGCCTGAAAACTATCCGCACACGATAGAAACTTGCCTCTCGAGGCGAATTCCTCACGAAAAACTATCCGCACACGAGAGTAACTTGCTGAGCTAACAGCCTCGCGAGGTCTTTACCTCAGCTACCAGCTCTCGTGTGAGGCGCGCTTAACTGAGAAAATAAACAAAATTATTATCATAATAATCACGATACCCTTTTTAGCATTACCCGACCCATCACACGTGTAAATTTTATATCCATTCCAAGTCATATTAAGACGGGTTTTTACAATCAACTTTCCTGTCTAAGATGAATTTCCCGTGCCTAATATGAATTTGGTTATTAATTAGAAAGAGATTATTGATACCTTCGGCTTCTCCGGTTCCTTGAATATACAATCCATTGTTATATGGTTTGTTGTTGTTTGAATAAGAACGTGATTTTCGTCAAATCTTCGCAGCAAATGGTGTCATGACAGAACTCCCTGGTTTGCAAATTATGTCGACACAATTGTGTGTACGAGAACCTCTGTATAATGATAAATTCACGTTAATTTATTTGTTTTGTAAGATTATAAGAATATTATCGATTGGCTGTGTTGCTACAAGGTTACATCTGGTCTTACCTTGGTGTTCCGAAATCACCACAACCCTGACTGTCACATCCACGGATTAAATTTCTACCATTTGAGCTGCAAAGCTGACCAAGTTTAAAACATTCAACCGCATTATCTAAAAAAATAAATACAGAAAAATACGATGAAGAATAAACGAAGTGACACTTGAGAATTCTATGAACAAAGATATATATCACAATATGTATTCCAGTACCTGCAAAGACTAGGAATATAACAACGAAATTAACAACTCCAAACATCTTTGATCTGCTAAAATTTAATCTTCTAGCTTGAAATGGCTTTTCATCGATATAATGACCGCACATACAGGATGTTTAAAAAAGCGCAACGCTTAATATTTATGCATATTTTGATACGCTATACGATCTTTTGTGATCAAAACGAAAGTGAGTTTCATAAACACTTTGAAGTTGCGTTTTTCTTATTCACCACAGCTGTAGATCAACCAAAAGATATCCTGAACCATTTGTGTGTTGATGAAAACTCATTTAGATTGGAATATTATTGCACCGCGAAAATATTCAACTTGACTTAAACAGAGTAAAATACTAAAGTAGGTCACATCTGGGTGCATTGCAAGCTAATGGGTTAGCTTGACAAGATAGTTTTGTTATCTGACAGATAGTTTTGTTAACTTATTAACTGACAGTATTCTTCCACTGATGAGTAAAATCATCTGACATAAGACAGAGTAAAGACAGGGAAAAGCAGCTGACGCCAATATGAGAGTTGGACCGTTACTACGGCAACGGCCTAATACTGGGGGATTCCAGACCGGTAAAGAACCAATCAGTGCACGCCATTTTAGTCACGAGACCGCGTGCCATATAATAAAGATGAGGAAATTACTTGGGGAACATGTCACATAAAATGAAGTGTAAAGTAAATATTATTATGACCCTTCGGAATCACAAAATTACTTTTCCTGTCATGAGGTGACAGCCCATGGGATTTCCTCCGAAACAATAGTGTGTCGTACAAAGTACAAGTGTCACGACTCAAGAACATAAGTTCTAGGCGGATACTAGTTTATGTCAATCATTTCTTTGCTATATTTTGCTCGGTTAAGCACTTGAAGCCTTACGTCACTAAAAGCTTAATTCGATGAACTTATTAGTAAAAAAGTTTATGAGTTAAGATACGGTTCACAGAGTAATAAGTTGATAATTGTACTTTAAGTTGATGATAAATATTTTAAGTTGTGAACAAGTTTTAACAGTGATCGATTAAGTAAAAGACCAACTTGACTAGTGCGTCACCGGCCTTAAGTAAACAAAGTATGAGAGCTGGACCGAGCTTCTAACGCCAACCCACACTTACAACCTACAACGCTGATTGGTTTGTGTGAACCACACCATCTTGCACAGGGCGTCTTCAAGATCCCCTCAAATTTTATTATAAAAGGAGGCGCACAGCAACGGAACATTCAGTGGACTAGCGGAGTAAAAAGCGTGTGAAACGTTAAGAAGCTCAACCTTACAGGACAGACAACCAAAGACAAGAACAGAAAACAACGGGGTCCGAAAGGACGAAGAATCCGAAGAGAAGAGAAGAACAGAGAAAGAAGAGGACATTAATGAACATTAGTTAACAATTGTAAAAGATCTCCTACCTCGCGTAAATAGAAAATAAAAGCTACATAACAATTTGATGGAGGATGCGGGCAAAACGACTGTAGTTTCAATTCTAATTCATGGGAAGTGTAGAGGTTGTGGACAATTGTCTTAAAGAGACAACCAAAAAATGAAACAAAGTCTAGCATTGCCATAAGTAGAAGTATTGATGAATACAGAACGTGCGTTTTATTGGACCCGGTCATCATGCCGTTCCTTCAATGTTAGTATAGTACACAGGCGAGGTATTCCTAGAGCCGTTCCTCCACCAAATTGTTATGTAGCTTTTATTTTTTATTTACGCGAGTTAGGAGATCTTTTACAATAGTTAACTGATGCTCATTAATGTCCTCTTATTTCTCTGTTCTTCTCTTCTCTTCGGATTCTTCGTCCTTTCGGACCCCGTTGTTTTCTGTTCTTGTCTTTGGTTGTCTGTCCTGTAAGGTTGAGCTTCTTAACGTTTCACATGCTTTTTACTCCGCTAGTCCACTGAATGTTCCGTTGCTGTGCGCCTCCTTTTATAATAAAATTTGAGGGGATCTTGAAGACGCCCTGTGCAAGATGGTGTGATTCACACAATCCAATCAGCGTTGTAGGTTGTAAGTGTGAGTTGGCGTTAGAAGCTCGGTCCAGCTCTCATACTTTGTTTACTTAAGGCCGGTGACGCACTAGTCAAGTTGGTCTTTTACTTAATCGATCACTGTTAAAACTTGTTCACAACTTAAAATATTTATCATCAACTTAAAGTACAATTATCAACTTATTACTCTGTGAACCGTATCTTAACTTATAAACTATTTTACTAATAAGTTCATCGAATTAAGCTTTTAGTGACGTAAGGCTTCAAGTGCTTAACCGAGCAAAATATAACAAAGAAATGATTGACATAAACTAGTATCCGTCTAGAACTGACTTATGTTCTTGAGTCGTGACACTTGTACTTTGTACGACATACTATTGTTTCGGAGGAAATCCCATGGGCTGTCACCTTATGACAGGAAAAGTAATTTTGTGATTCCGAAGGGTGATAATAATATTTACTTTACACTTCATTTTATGTGACATGTTCCCCAAGTAATTTCCTCATCTATATTGACCTTCTATTTCTTAACAATGCTAATTGCTAAATTATATTATATATTCGCATTTCGTAGCAGTATGTTTATATTATTACGAGAGTTTCCATGCTTCTCAATAGGGAGCTTTAGCAGTGACCACGAGTACGACTACGAGTACGAGATTCGTCATCCTCGCGCGTTGTTTGCTTACGCCATCAGCCAAAACTCGTAGTCGTTGGGCTTTTGAGTACGAGTTTTTTGATAAATTTCGTACTCAAAAGCCCAACGACTTCGACTTTTGGCTGATGGCGTAAGCAAACAACGCGCGAAAATGACGAATCTCGTACTCGTAGTCGTACTCGTAGTCACTGCTAAAGCTCCCTAATAACTATATCTTCAGTTCGTTATTATTTCTATGCAACTCTCTGACAAAAATATAATGTATACATTAATACCATGGCTTGAAACACAAAAATTACGCTGCTTTCTTGAAAAAAAAATTAGATACGAAACACCTTTATAATCAACTAAAAAGGGTCACACCAATATAATAAGTAAAAATGTAATGCGCATATTTTCTACTAACTTTGTATGTTCTCTTTATTCTTAATGTTATCGTCTGTAAATAGTTATTTTTTACCTTTTTTTTACATGTACATCGACGCCCCGCATGGAAACCAGCAAATGTTGATAAGGCTAGCGTCGATCAAATCTTAAATAAAGGTTACATGCATACATACATACCTTGGATATATTTACTTAATCTGTCATTTTTAGACTTGACTAAAACAACTTAAAAATGCTTGAATTGTGCAAATAAAAAGCGTATTTTTTGTCTTTTCAAGCCATGGTACTAATGTATGCATTATGTTCTTTGTCAGAGAGTTGCCAGTCTTAGAGGATAATAATATACATAAGATAGTATACGGTACCCGCATTGACCGGGGCTGCCTATGGTACTAGTTGGTGATTTCAATCTTCCATCAATCATCCTATAGGTGATAGTTTTCTGACCAAAGGACCTATTTCGGTGGTAATATACTTGATCTACTGTTCTGTAACTTTGCTGAGACATTATCGTATGTATTAACTTTGTTTCCTGATGAACAAACTTTCCCACCGATCATTACACAATCGAATTGTATTTGCATGAGGTTCAGAAGAGCCAAATCCATACGACGTATAGTCCATGACTACAACCGAGCTAATTTCCATGAACTTCGTGAAGCACTGTCAAAAGCAGATTTCAGTTTACCTCTCACGGAGAATATCGATACTTGTTGGAAGCAGTGAAAAGACTTTATCAGTAACAAAAGTCGAGGATTCATTGAGAGAAAACACGTTTGGAACTAACATAAAGCGATCGGTAGGAAAGTTGTGTTCATCAGGGGATGTTTTAGAACTACCATAAAGCGACCCTTCACCATTACTCGGCGTTTAATGCAATAATATCCTACAACAATCGTACAGCGAAGACGCCATGGGAGAAAGCTGAAGTTTTTAATTCGTATTTTTGCTCTGTTTTCCAATCTGCCGAAACCATTTCTCCTCAACCATCTACCTCCCCACTGTCATCTGTTGGTCTGTTATGTGATATAACCATCTTGGAAGACGAAGTTACCCACCACCTTTCAAAATTAGATCCTACGAAAGCTAGTGGACCTGATGGCATTCCAGGCAGAATTCTAAAGGAATGTGCTTCTATCATCACTCCGAGTCTCTGTGCACTTTTTAACCATTCTCTACAATTCGGAATTATTCCTTCTGATTGGAAATCTGCTGATATCACCCGAATTCAAAAGAAAGATAATAAAGAATCTGTTACCAATCACCGAACCATATCTCTCCTACCTATCACTAGCAAAGTCTTGAAGCGATGTTTCTGCAGCTAATTTTATGATCATGTTCGTCATATGATTCACCGAGCTCAACACGTTTTTTACACGGTCGTTCTTGTAAAACACAACTCCTTTCCACTCTACATGATATTGGAAAACTACTCGACCATAACATCCAAACGGACGTTCTCTTCCTCGACTTCCCGAAGGCCTTTGATTCTGTGGATCGCGCTATTCTTCTGCAGAAACTTCAAAGTTATGGAGTATCAGGAAACCTGTACAACTGGTTCACTGATTACTTACATGATCGTGCTGAATGTGTCACTGTCACTGGAGGGTGCGGCCTCACCCGTTACTTCTGGTGTTCCTTAGGGGAGCATCTTAGGTCCTATGGTTTTTTTGATCTTCATAAAGACTTTCCTGATGTTATACCTAAAGCTACATCCACAGGATTGAACGCTGACGATACGAAGTTATACCAAGTAATAAGAACTTCCGAGGGCGGCATACAGTTACACCATGCCTTGTCGTGTGCTGAGGATTGGAGTAAAGATTGTAACATGAAATTTAACACATCCAAGTGCAAAGTTTTAACGATATCCCGCTGCAAATTCCTGTTTCAGATAAATTACCATCTCGGATCTGAACTGAAACGTGTGGACAGTGAACTTTATCTCGGGATCACTGTAACCAGTAACCTTTAGTGGAATACTCAAATTAATAGTCTTGTTAGTAAGGCGAATAAAATGCTTGGACTAATAAGAAGAACATGTCCCTTGATTGATCCCTAATCATGATATTCGACGTGCCCTCTACCTATCTCTTGTCAAATCCAAGCTATCCTATACTACACAAGACTGGGCACCGACCATCCACACAAGTAAATCAAATCTGGAGAAACTAGAGAAAGTTCAGAGGCGAGCTCCAAGATGGATCCTTGGAACGAGCGTTACATGGATTTTATGACTTGGATGTTTCAAGTTACGTGTCATTCGTTAGTCATAATCGAAATCGTAATTGTAATAACCCTTCACTTCTACTGTAAGTTCCATCGTGAAGAACAAACACCTTCGATTCCTCCTATTTCAACCGAATTGTCCCCCCTTGGACTTGTGTTTGTAAAGTAGGCTCGCCTGGTGATCTTCATAATTTGTCTGCGTTTAAAAATTTTTCTCGTAACCTTTAGTTTGACGTAGACATGACCTGTACTTGGTCATTACATCAATCAATCAATCAATCAATCAAATCGTTTAATAAATATACATCTCGCAGTCATTAAGACTGAATTACATGTATAATACATCAATATGAATGGTAAAAATATGTATATTTTAAAAGTTATTAATATATTTACAACTACAAGCATTAAAAATTAGAGTTCATAACCTAAACAAGCTATATGACATCACATGCTACAAGATTACATTTACATTTAAGAAGTGTGTCTATTTGAATAATTTGGCATAAAAGAGTTTTTAAAACGATTTGTGTAACATTTGATCGTTTGAAATGTTCTCTTTGTCCTTAACTGATTATTAATACCGTTGGTTCTTTCCGGTAATAAATTGGTGAGTTATGGTCCTTGTTATCCACGATTTCATCAAAAAACTTCGTACATAGAGATTGCCTTCTTTCAAATAAGGTTGGAATATTGGCTTTTCCTAATGCATCAACATATTTGACTCCAGGAAAAATTATACCCATTGCTCTTTTTTGGACACGTTCCAATTCATCCGATAGGTATTTTGGTAAACTAGAATGAAACACTTGGCAGGAGTACTCTAGAATTGATCTTATTATAGCACAATAGTAGCAAACAAGGTCTTTTGAGGCTATGTCAGCCCGTTTTAATTGCTTGATGAAATACAAACGCTTTGCTGCCTTTTTAGTAATGTCATTGATATGATCGTTCCATTTCAAATCATTTCTCATCGTAAGACCCAAAATTTTTATTTTCTAAACACTTTCGAAGGGTTGATTATCTACCTCTACTGCTTTAAACGTTGGAAAGGTCTTATTAAAACACATAGTAATTTCTTTGCATTTCTTTGGATTTAAAATCAGCTTATTTTCCATCGACCATTTAGCAATATGATTAATTTCCTGTTGTAGATGACTTTCTTGGTCTTGTAGAATTAGTTCGGAAATAGTGGTATCGTCTGCAAACTTCCACATCAGTGAGTCCGTTTTTCCAGACAATTCTAAGTCGTTGATCATGGCTACGAAGAGCCATGGGCCTAGACATGTTCCTTGGGGCACTCCAGCCGGTACACTTTTCCAACCAGAGAAGCATTGATTATTAAGTTTTATTCTCTGTTGTCGGTCTCTGAGAAAGTCAATAAGCCAGTTGATGGTTGAGGATTTGACACCAAGGCTTAAAAGCTTGGCTATCAAAAGGTTATGGTCTATCATATCAAATGCCTTTTTGAAATCCAGGAAGGCAGCACGAACAACAACAGCTTTTCCATCTGTCATTTGTAACCAGTGATGAATCATTGATATGAGAGCATGAGTAGTTGATGATCTAGGTATAAATCCATACTGATTTTTATCGATAGATCTTAACAAGACAGGTTTCAGATCTTTTTCAATAACAAATTCTTCAGCGATTTTGGATAGACTAGAAGTAAGTGAAATCGGTCTTAGATCCTGTGTAAACTCTTTGATGGTCGACGCCTTAGGCAAAGGAACGACATCGGCAATTTTCCACAATTTGGGAACATGGCTGTTTTGGAAGGATACATTTAGGATTAAGGTAATTGGTTGCGAAAGGATATCCGCATAATCTTTTAGTATCCAATTAGATAGTCCGTCAGGGCCTCCGGCTTTTGAACGGCTGACTTTTCTTAATTTTTTTACAACCTCAATTTCTGTAACTTCGATGAATGGTTCATTCATATCCATAGAGACATGTACATTCGGTGACAAAGGAGAATAATCATGCATTACGCTTATAAATGCTTCATTGATTTTTTCGCATAAAACTTCTTCATCATAATCTAGGTCTGGCGATAGCATGTCTTTAAGGTTTCTTGTATTAATCTTGTTATTTCCACAGAGATGTTTAACCTCCTGCCACCACTTGCTAGGTTTCACATTTCTAAGATTTTCAACTTTAGACTTATAATACATTTTTCGGATGCTCTTCCTTTCTCTATTAACCTTGTTACGAAGAACTTTGAATAGAACCCTATTTCCAGATGTAAATGCCTTTTGTCGCTGGGAAATAAGCCTTTTTAAATTACTAGTCATCCAGGGACGGTCATTATAATGGACCCTTAAAGAACGTTGAGGCATTATTGTATTTAGTCCGTAATTAATAATATCTGACATTATTTCTATGTTCTGGTCACATGTAAGTTCTTTTGATAACATGCAAGACCATGGAACTTCTATTAGAAATCGGCCAAGGCTAGCTTTTTTGCTTTGTCGTTTGTCTTTAACTTTGATGACTTTTGATTGAGATTTGCACGAGTTGGCACGGTCTTTAGGTGTGGCTATAATTGTCCTCAGGCACGGTCTTTAGGTGCGGCTATAATTGTCATCAGGACTTGTTACGTAAATATAATTAATTGCCATGATATTACATTACGATCATCGTTCCATTTACTGATATTCGTATAAGTCAATTTTACTTTTACTAGGTCTTTCATGCGTTTCAAAATTATATTTGCACGTGCAAGGTGGTTCGATCGCTTGTAAAGTCTGGCAATTGCGTTATGTGCTTATATGTGTCAGTTTGTGTGTGTGTTTGTGCAATACTATAGCTGATAATTACGGGAGAATTGCCTCGCAGGGCTCTTAGGGACCAGTTCGCACTCTGGCCGTTTGGGTATTGTTATCCAATAAATGTTGAGGACTTCAGTCCTCTGCTGGTTCACACTTCAGTGACATTTTTTAACAACTTTATTATACAATCAATATTACAACTTTTATCCTTCTCAATCTATAGCCAACACTAACTGCTACACCCAGTTTACATCAATTTTTATATACCTAATTAATTCCTTCAACATAATAATCAATCTTATTTCGTAACTTTTGACATTGGACGACACACCTAACATTCCACAGCACATAACATCACGCAACATTTATAATTATAATAATATAGAATATATATGCGGGTAAAGTTGAGGTTACGCGAGGTCACACCCTGGGTGGCAAAGTTCTTCCAAGTTCGGTGGCGGAGAGGATTTCGAAACCACATCTTGATCTTTATAATTCAATCTTTGGGAGCATAGAGAAAACATGCAGTTGTCGTCCTTCCACGAGCGTCGTGTACACCCTGCAAAAAAAGCTGAATTCAGCCTGTGCTTTCGTCTGTGCACCATCACCTTTTCGGTAATTACGTCACAAGATTTTAACGCCACAACGTTTTAAATTTAGAATTTAGATGGAAAATAAGTGATCTTCATCCGACCCCTTTCTCTGCCGTGGAAAATTGAACCCCAAAAGTTTCTGCCTGGCAATGGTACTACCACTGTTCTGTGACCCTGTCAGTATAGTGCAACTGTAAAATTTGTTGCTCAATTCAAACACACAGCAGTTAGCTACATCCAAATGCATTTATCATATTCATTTTTGTATCGTTATTGTTCATGCTACTTGAATGGTAATAATTCTTAGTTATCAGCTATAGACTAGATCGTATAAATAAAAATTTTTCCACTGTATAAACTAAGATGGAAGATTCTGCTTTGCGAAAGGTTTTAAACTTACGGACAACAACAAGTTTTGCACCCTCTATTCTTGTCATCTTCAATATTCTTTTTACAAACGAGGAAACCCAAATCAGAATTAGTCAGCGTCGGTTTATGGCAACTAATAATCACTTGTTGGACGAGGTCGAGCAAAATATCGTCATTTGTCGATGTCGATGGTGAGCAGATTTGCGAGACATTAGCAAATAACAATATTTTACAAAAAGCGAGTTCAATACTTACATTCGAGCATGACGCGTGAACTTTTTTCACGCGTTTCTTTACCTTTAAAAAATGTAATAATTAATTCTTACACGTTGACTTTGAAATCGAAATTGTTATAAACGTGACGTATAAACAATTATCACGTCTAATAATATACAAGGAAATGTTTCTCGACCCTGATTGGTTGATTTCAGTGCAGTTAATCTCAAACATTAGTGCAAAAATGTGTAACAGTGCAAATTACTGTAACAACAGTGCAAAATCCTGTTACAAATATATTCTCAAAGATTTCCTTGCATATCATTAATACGTAATACTATAATTTCTCTCGTGCAATTACGGATAAACACGCACTCGTGATTTTTTAAAGACTGCAAATAACGCTCGCCTTTCGAAACTTGCGCTATTTTGCAGCCTTAAACTCACTCGTGCTTTTTAATCCGTAATTGCACTCGAAATTATACTATTACCTATACTAACACAACGTTTTTTGTACTGTTTTGGTGCGTTTACTGGGTTTATACCATAGAAATAATAACAGAATGCGTACTTATCACGAATACGTGTCCCAAATTTTTTCATGCTGTACTCTTATTAATGCGCCATTTTGAAATCATTCAAAAAAACTTTTATTTGGAGACAAATTTTTATTAGGGAAGAGGTATCAGCGCGCATTCTATGTGTATTATTTTTATGGTTTATACAGCATGTTTATCACATTTGAAATACAATTGTAACGTAACGTTTAAAGTCAAATGTAATTAATAAAGCCAAGTAAACGCGCCAAAAAACACAAAAAAGTTGTGTTGACGGTCATAAATTTTTGTAGATCTTATTTCGAACATTTTAACTATTATCATTTGCACGCAGTTATTTGCTAGTAAATCAACCAATAAAAATTTAGAATGTTACGAAGTGAATGATAAGAAAATCCCTTAAAAAAACTACTGTTTACTAGACAACATGACTTTTCGGAGCGAACTCACTTTGAAGAACGTTTGATATTACTGCGATTTCCAGTTGAGTTGTCCTGGAATTGCGAAAGCTTGCTCTTTAAATTTTTTAGTTTGAAAACAATGCTTCTGACGTCATCGAATAATGTTACTACGTGAGGCTCACCAAGTTGTTAAAGGAAAAACTACAGTAGAAATAGCGGCTATTCATCGCTATTCACGTCTTCTATTTACAGTCACAAACTTGACAGAGATGACAGTTTTTCTTTCACAACTTGGTGATCGTCACCAAGTAACATTATTGATGACGTCACACAATTGTTTTCAAACTAGAAAATTTTACGGACAAACTTTCGCAATTCCATTCTCAACTGGAAATCCAAGTATGTAGAAAATCTTGTCACAGATTAAGGATTTTAAAGAAATAAGTTGTTTGTCCGCCGTCCTAGATTAACGAGGATAATATTTTTATATTTAATATATATTTTTATAGGTAATATTTTTAAAAAAGTTTTGCAAAGGTAAACAAACCTCTCGACAGTTTTAGGGCGATTTAAATAAAGTAATATTTTCGCAAAATAAAGTTAAAAAGCACTCGAAAACGTAGTTTTTTACCTCGAAATAATTTTATGCCTAATTCTTACAAATCTTTTGTGCTTTTTAGTACAGTATTTTCGTTAAAATAACTTATTTCTTCACCTGTACCTTTGACAAAAACAGCTCGCCGGCATTTTGAAAAATTCGGTTAGGTGAATATTGCATAATAATCCGAGGTCGATCGACCAATCAGAAGCCAGAATTTTCAGTGGTCACCTTTGGCTTTGTAATTATACTCAAACTAAATTATTACACCTCAAATTCGGATTCTCCAACGAAAAAGCTAAATTTAAGCGATAAATATCACTCACTGGTAAATATGATTCGGAAACATAACGCAAGACCATTGTTTGTTTGAAATAAAAAAATGACCGATTTTGTCGAAGCAATAAACCGCATTCTCGACGAGAGACATGCAGAAAACACAATAACGTTTTTACGGGTTTACAAATCATGATTGTATAGTTTAAGGCTCAACTCCAAACGAGAGTTAGGTAATGAATTGAGAATTAATCAGCCGACAATTTCTAAATCCTTTTTGGACAAAATCCTTCATTTTGACAAAACATCACAAAATATGGAAACCCTGTAACAAGATTCTCTGGATTTTAAACGTTTTTAAATGTGACCATAACATTTTCTGTATTGCCCTTTCACAAAATCTCATCTTCGCGAGAAACAGAGTAATATGTATATATCTAATAATCACCAATTTTACGCAGACAGGACGAACATTTTACAATCACAAAGTAATTAAATAAAATACAAAAGAACAGTACACTCCAGAGACAGAAATTGTTTTAAAATTTATTTCAACGCCCCGAATATATTTTTAGTCATCGTCAGGAAATAATGCCTCATGTTTGACATAATACATTTGCATGTGCTAATAGTAGGGTAGTAATATATTAGACCATTTATCAATTATGGAGTTTAGTGAAATTTGCGGGTTTACAGCGAGTTCTTCAAACAGGAAGATTGTGAGTTAGACAGGCGTGGTTATATATTGTAAATAAACTAAATGTAATAGTAATAATAAAGATTCATGGTTCTGCATGATACCAGATTTGGGTTTAACTTTAGCATTTATATATCTTTTTATTGGTATACGAAACATCTGAACTTTCTATGTCATATATTATTTCAAGCATTAAGCGTTATTTCTTGGCGATGACTAAAATATGGACAAAACGTCGAAATAAATTTATTTCTATCTTTGTAGTTAAAGTTTTTTTGTATTTTTTCGGATATATGAAAAGTATTATAACGCTTGATTCACTGAAAAACTTGAACGCGAACCAGAAGACAGTCATTTTTAACGTATTGCCGATCCTGCAATGTCTCGATATGGGCGAACTCCACATATCCATAGCCTTTGTGATTTCGGGGAGTGGTTGGTCTTTGAAATGCCAAAAGATTAGGCCTGGTGACCAACGTTTCGCTGATATGACGTTTGTAATCTCCATCATCACTTTGGTCAAGAATGGAAAGGGAGATCCTGCCTGAAAAGGGCCACTCCAGAGTATCGTCCCAGGGTGACTGCATCATATGAACAAACAAAGAAACATGAGTACCATAGCCAGTATCCACTCCGTTTGGGTTGATTCTAAACGAGATTTGACATATTTTAACTAAGTTTTTAGGCCGGTGTCCCGTTCCCCTTTACACCAGCAATCGACGAAAATGCTGTTAAATATTGCTTCTGTTGCCCATGCAAGTTAAGCAGTGAACAATTTCCGAAACAATTCGTAGCATCATATAATAATAATAGCTACACTCCTCAAACTTTAACAGCCCAATTATTCATTCATTGACGGCATGCTAACATATTGAGCGAACAATCAATACACATTCGCTAGATTCAAAATATAGTTAAATTAAACGATTACTTACAAATATTGTGGATTTATTTTTATCGAGCCAGAATGACGAATTAACTTCTTGAGAGAACTTACTGTGTTACGAAGTTACCATGAATAAAAAACAAAGTCTAGGCCACCATATTCGTTTACGTATTCCTAAACGCTGTTATGAACTATGATATACCAATTAATTTGATGACAAATGTGTACAATTCCTGGCTAGAGATCTATAAAATCCCTTTTGGTGTACTAAGATAACGAATTAAGCGATTATACTTCAGTACTAAATAACAAATAATACCATGTAAAATTACACTGAATTCTTGTTCAGATGAATATCTTTTGCACGCAATTAATATAAGTTCACATAAACATACCTGAGGCATAACTTGTAGCCATAGAAACTGGTATAAAATGGAGGGCTGTGCAATGCTGTAACAACATTCTCGCGAGCGTTTTCTAGATGAGTTGGATACCCCTCTATCCTCCACAGGTAGACTCCATTGCACATACGTGCTTCCAGATCAATTACAGTATTCTTCAAAGCTGTCACGCCAGATTCATTATCCCTTTGTTGTCTTTCAGTGCGGCCTATATAGTTAGATTTAACATCCAGCTTTAACATATGGTTTTCCTTCTTCATCAAAAACCACGTTTTTTAATTTTACAAAATGTGTCGATAATGTGTCTTCGTCAGGGATGACGCAGTTTGTCATACATATCACATAGTATATAAATAATTATGGAAACAGTGATAATACGGCCCATCCAAACAAGGAAATTCAATTAGCTCATTGAAATAGAACATGGAGGAATAACTTGTTGTTATTTTACAAAACAATTATTTTATGGTTTCCCGTGTTTGGATGGCCTAAAAAGAAAAGCTCCGCTTTAGACTAATTTCTTACATCGGCGATAAAAAGGATATTTTCTAAATGAGCTTACTAAAATTAGTAAAACTGCCAAGTTTGACTGGGAGTTGTTGTAAATTGCGGAGAATATAGCCATGCGAAGTTGACGAATTTTGTATACTTTTGTATTGCGGCCGAAATTTTGTAACTAATTTAGTTACACATTTCAGTCCGCACGTAATACAAAAGTATACAAAATATGCCAACTTCGCATGGCTATATTTTCCGTATTTTACAAAATCTCGCAGCCACACTTTGCATTTGAACTAATTTAAGTAAGATCTTTCTAGCTGTGGTGATTTATTTTCCTCTAGTTACTTTGATCAAAAATTAGTCTAAAGCGCAAGTCGTCCATTCGCGTGTTTTCGCGTGTTTTCGCGTGTCTATTTTTTTTTGGATCAGGCATTCCAATATTTCTCGCCTGCGCGAAACAAGCATTCGTTGTGAAGCCAAGTTATGCACCTCTTAGTTCACGATATTTTCGCTCCATTTCCACCAGCTTGGCTTCCAAAGTTGCAATAGCCTCAGTGTTTTTGTTACGTTGACGATTGAACTCCTCTAAGACGGTCGCGCTCACAGTACCATTGCCATTTGCACTTGCACTAGCACCTCCACTGGCAGCACCTTTGCTCTTTTCCTTTCCGTTTTGAGGTAACAATACGGCTAAAGCAGCGCACAGCATGGACAAATGTAACTGTATTTCGTTGTTTAGATGGTTTTGGAGATTAAATCGCTGCCCCTAGAATACCAGCGTCAATAATAACAGGTATAACATCATTATAGAAAAGACTATCCTGACGAATGAATTTGGTGGAAACGTTTCGTTACTTTATTAACGCGGTTCGTACTTCGTACATTGTAAGAGCAGTAAGATTCAAGAACGTTTCACTGACTATCAAGTATACATATATCGGAAAATTCAAAGATTAAAAGTCAAGACCTTCAGTTGACTGAATCAAAGAACTTTGTTCATGGTTAGAGAATATAATGCGTTGAGAAAATAACATTAAATCCGAATAGAATCTCTAATTAGAAATCAACGAGAGACTTTCAACGCCTTTATCTCAATTTTATGAACATTCAAGAACATTTAAGTTTTGTCAGTCGAACCTTGGTAAGTAGTGAGTATTCTATCCAGCAACTCAGTACCCGTAATGCTATAAATAATATGATGAATGTAGAAACTCTTGACATAAATTAACATTATTTACTATATTAACCGCCATATTATTTAGTTGCCTATCTGTTCGAAGATTTAGAATGCTGATAAATCGTTTAAACTTAACATATTAAAATAATAAAGACGAAATCGGCTCATCCTGAGTCAATGAAGCCAATAAGGATATCTTTCAGCAGGATATTGAATCAAAAGAACAAATGGACCTCCCCAAGGAGAAGCAGTAAAGAGTTTGAACGAGCGAAGGTTAATAAAGTGCACATGCATAGTTGTGTTTTAACAGCATATCAAAATAACAAGGTTGTTTCGTGTTTGCAATCACGCGAAAACTCGCATTGCAAAGCTCTGGGAACACTATACAACTGGTGACGGACAGAAAATCAGTACAATTTGTAACCAGTATACACCGGGTGCATATCGCCATTCCCAATTCAGCGTTGCACAACATAAATCAACACGTTTTGTCGTGTGCATGGTTTATATAGAAAACTTACACAGAAAAGGATCTGAATAGAGAATATCATCTTTAGATTGATGATATACTAATCTATAGCGATCTTAAACGACTGGATATATAATAAATAATTTGGAACAGCATTTCCTTGGTTGGTGTGTTCAATAAGCCGAAGATTAAGGATGAACGCCACCTGGCTATATTAATTTACACATGTGTACAGGGTGTAAAAAAAACACGGTATTCCACATGATATTCCATCTTTTGTGATCGAATAGAAAGCGAATATCACGAATATTTACTGTGGTTGCATTTTTTTTTACACCCCGTATAGCAAGCGTGCATCTGAATAAATTTGTTAAATATAAATACCGTCCACTTGCATCCATACGATTTAAAATCACACACAGCCTGTCCTTTGGGACACTCCTTTTCATGTCCAGCAACCAACTGAAAATATTGAAAGTAATTTTATTTCGTTGTTTTAGGGACAATGCACACGCAGAACATCGCTTAGTTTTGCTAACAAAAATGGCAATTCCTCCAAGAGGAACAAATAAATCTTTTTTTTATGCTGTTCGATTAAGTTTAGATTTAATTGGGGTGAGAATATATTTAATACATGTATATCTGATCCTATTTTAAATAATATCGCTGCAAAGGCAAAGTGTAAGACGAAGTGAACGTATCATGCGGTTTATTTACATTTTTGAACAATTGCATGAACTATACTTTGTATAGTACGATGTGCTTCTGAATTTCGCGATCGAACAACATTTAGGTTCGCAAGGCATCTAAATGAGTATGAACTGTATTGTTTATGTCCAGAAGCTTTATATTGAAGACTGGCACGTGCGCGGCACGCCGGATTTCACGCCAGAACAGGCGTCTTGTTTTAATTACAAATTACAATTAATGCATGACGGCCAGACCATGCATGAAAGGTTTTTGTTCTCAAAATACGATTAATTTTAATCCTCACAGATAAAGCAAATCTAAATTGGTACATAAAGATTCGTTGAATGATTAATTTAGTCCCAAAATACCTCATTTAAAAGAATGAAAATAAGATATGTCAAATCTAATTGCATGCAACACCAGTATAAAAGTAGTCAGACCACTCATAAAAGCAAAAGAAGAGTTTTTTATTCTAGTTCTTTTTTTTACTTAAAGTGTCTATACCATGATTGCGGATTTTGAATATATCAAAAGTTGTCATGATGGATTTATTAGCTCTTAAAGCTATCAGACATGACGTCAAATCGGGAATTTCCTGCAACCTAAACAAAAGGAAACTCATTTGCAATTTTCGATTTGTCATTTCTGGTAACTTCAAAGGCTAATAAATCCATCAATTTTTCAATACCAAAATGTATTGCAAAGTTTTTTAAAATACCTGGAACTTTTGATATATTTAAAATCCAACCATGGTATAGGCACTTTGAGAAAAGCCCTTATATATATGATCGAATAATGGCGGCCTTTTTCTATATGGAATCATTGATTGGTCTGTATCATGCATGTCAGGGCTTATACAAGTCAACATTTGAAAAATACAAATATAAAAGGAGAAACATAATATCAAAAATCATAGATATACCTTTTCTCGCAGCATCTTCTGTTTACAATTGGGACAAGGAACAACTACTTTTTGGCACTTTCCATAATGATCCTTACAAGGTCAATAAAAAGAAGTGAATTATATACAGAAATAAAATATGAAAAATTGCTTAATATACAGATAGTATCATTCTGTCAAATATAGGGTAAATCTACCCGTTATTAAAGGCTGGGGGGAGGGGGGGCTCTTGAACACTACTTATATATCGTCCTTCCCACGTTACAATGACTTTTCGGGGAGAAGGCTGTTCTTGTGAGCCACTTCAGAATTATCTTGTGCACAATAATATCAATATTAACAAACGTCCCTGCTTTTTTATGGGCTAGGTCTTTTATGGGTTTAAGGAAAAAATCGCACATGGCACTAAAAATAGGGTTTTAAAATCCCACGGATTCAAAAACGGCGGAGGACATTTAAAGCAATGTGCATGTCTTGTCTACTTTAAAAAATACAGTGTAAATAATTAGGACCACTTGTTAGAAACCATATAGCTCTGACTCTCCTAAAAGAATTTTGTTGTGAGTTGCACTTCAAATAATTTTTCTTTAATCGAAGTCAGGCATCAGGGGGCGCCTGTGGGGGGTAAATATTCATATATTCACATTTAGCATTATTCTCGTCTTTTGAAATTTATTGTTTTTACAGTCCGATAACATAAAATTATATGAATATATATATTAAACACCCCCCCCACACACACTCTCCGACCCCCCCCCCACACTCTCTGATCTCCCGCGGCCCCAGGCAACCAACAGGTAATCAGTCACAATTTCGTTGGATATCTAGTGAAAACTCGTTTAAATATATAAAAGGCACACTATACCTTGTAGTTCTTATGGAGCACTTCAGTCTTGCAATGTGTACAGGTTGTTGTTCGTTTTGGACATTCCTTCTTCAAATGATGGTCCAACGCTTTCCTCTCTACATTTTGATTACACCCTTTCGGACATGGCGCTTCCACAAATGGACAAGTTTTTAAATGTTCCTATTAAATAATATACGAATATTTTATCATCAAACCTCATATCTGTCAGCACTGTATATATGGTGTTTTCGGCATCCACAGAATGTGTTAATGCTGCATGGTAACTCGCGGCAGGAACAATGCATAGGTATGCCAGCGAGCAGAAATTGTACTAAACAAGTAAAGAAGCATCAAAACCAGCCCATTTTCATATTTACCTCAACGTCTTTCAGGCATCCGATCCAAGGGCATTCCTTTTCGTTCTTTACAGTCCGACATTTAACACGAAGCATATATATTTCCCTCTTAGCAAAATTATCAGCGTTTATCTAAAATGATGGGGGGAAACCTGTTACTGCTGGAAGTCATCGTGTGATATACAGAGTGTATAGTAAGGTTGCAAGTAAAAACTCCGAAATAGACACGACATCCCGAGTAAATGATACAGGGTGATCGATTAAATGATACAGGTTGAGACAGGATATAAATTTTCGACTTTATTTCAAAGTCATCTTCAGACAGAATTTATTTCAAAGTCATCTTCTTTCTGTCTGAAGACGACTTTGAAATAAAGTAAAAAATGTCTTGTTTGAATCATATATTCATGCACTCTCAAAATGTCTGGTCTTTTGAATTTCAATTTCATGCTTTACTTTTTTAAATTGTCGGTTGCATGGTTTTTATGTTCTATAATTAATTTACACGTCTAAAAACGATCACATGCATTGATGCAATATTGATATGAACAGGATGGAGCAATGTTGTGCTGCCCATAATGTTCAGAGTTGTTATAGACATCGAACAATATTGTTACACCTGATCCTTTTTCAACAATATTGTTTAATGTGACTAGTGTGAACAATATTGGCAGCACAAAATTGTTCCATGCTGATAAACTGCAGGTTTAGAGTCTTTTACCGTGTAGTTATATACACTCTTCCGGCCATAATACAAAAGTATACAAAATTTGCCAACTTCGCTTCGGTATATCAAAATTTTGCAGCCAAACTTGGCGAGTTTAGCCTATTATGCAAGTGGTCCATTAGATACAGCTATGAACGGTTTATTTTGCTACAATTTGCAAAATTTGATAAAAAATAGGTTTTCATGTCAAATTACAACTTCAGATGCATGTAAATCAGATTTCTTTCACGCTAAACTATACGTCAATTGCATGTAACTGCGCGCTCTGAACATAAAATGTTTTGTTTTGTAACTTATTAAATATTTTTTCAACGGCTCTAGGTATCTAAAAATATAGAGGAAAACCCATATAGTGCCGACGAAAAGGCATGTTTCAGAAGCGTAAAGTAACTCGGACAACGAATCTGAATACATGTGATAAACGATGACATAAAATCAGTGAAATCCACTCACTTATAAGACCCACGCTGATTCAATTCAAATGAATGTCGCGCATGCAGTATTGAAATAGCCGGAAGATATGGGGCTAAACTGTCGGCGAAAAAAGTATGTCCGTTTGCTACCAGGTCTGTTAACACTTTTAGAAAACCTTATACACAATTCGGGGTCCCCGAGAAGTTGCAAATTATTTCACTTCCTGAGAGTTTTTCTGAGAGGAAATTTTTCGCAATTGGAAAACACCTTAAAGGATTTTACGAAAGTTGCCGAACCATTGTACGACTTTCTAAATGTAGGGCTTGCTTGCCAGAAAATTTTCTTTAGAGCGTTTATGCGCTCTCGTAACATTCAAGTCGCCAGATCATTACGAGCTCGTCTTTTGGTGACCTGTGATGCATCTACAACAGAATAGAGGGTTTATGCAGTAATCAGAAGGCAGTCGGCTGTGGCGTTAAAATGCGAGAACTCCAGTATGTGGTAAAACACTTTGCAGGCGGCAATATTGGAACAGAGAGGGGGGACTGGAGAGTGGTTCATCGAGTACGTACGTCAACAACAAAACGATGTAAGGATGTAAGGGATGAAATTTCGGAATAATTATTCATGCAAGAGCTGACAACGAAAGTACCACAGATGTCGCATGATAATCAGGGAAACTTTGGCTACTCCAAAACATTACATATTTCACAAAAGAGGTATTTTCCGGCCAAGAATGGCTTATCAAATTGGGCAGTTGAATAGTGCAGTGAGCAGCTTATATCAATGCATTTATAACCCATTAAAACACTGCGGAAATATCCTCGGAGTAAAAGAAAGTATCGTATTAACTACAAACTATACATTCTGCACGAGTTTTATTCTGAATACAAACTTCGTGGTACGTTACAGAAGATTCATTCGTATTGCTTGCAGTGACTACGTCAGATTGTTTCCTGGACATACATGCTGTACGATGAAGCAATCAAGATCAAGTGTGTTTTTAGCCTGGTCGAGGATCTAAAGCGTAAGATCTGGCGGTGCATCCAAAAAGATGGTCAGTTAAAAATTAATTTTTAAAAGAATGGTATTTTAAGTTTTTAAACAACAATCTACATGAATAGAGTGCATGATAGATCAAAAGGCACACATTCGATCAAGTGATTTCACAGAGCATATAAAGTTCTATTAACGGATTTAGGATTGTATGTTTGTCCTTTAGTAGAACGAAAAGAACGTCGTTTAAGTTTAATACGATTGTATTAAAAAGTTAAATCGTTTAAATACATTCTTTGTACAAAGATATCCCACACACACGAATATAGGGAGCTTTAGACTTGACTACGGCTCCCGCTACAGCTACGAGATTCGTCAATATGGCGCCAACGCACGTTGTTTGCATATACGCCACCTCGTGTCGGCCTGATAAGCCTCGGCGCCCACTATAATGAAGATGTTTTAGAAAAATCAAGAGCCCACCATTTCGAAATATTTACATATAATCAGAGCAACGGTCATAGAAAACAGACGTTAAATTAACTTCAACATCTATTGTAAATTGACGGTATATTTGAAACCGTTTTGGCATGAAATATAAAGACGCTCGAAAACGTTACCGTGTCCACACTCCACATAGTCTATAATATGTGACCACATTATTCTCCGTGGATAATAGTATGACCTTGATAACCATATACAGAGGGTGGTAAAAAAATATAGCCCCCAATGGGCAATTGGGGGCAATGGCAATGGCAATGTGTTAGCTTCAGTTGTTAGTAATTATATGAGAAAGTCAATTGAGTCAAATTTGTGATTCGGAGCAATAGGATGTGATTCTTCTTCATTTCAAAGTTATTCTCAAACCAATGTTAATATTTACAAGCTCCCCATCATGTTGTTCCAGAGAAATGCTCCATGCACTATAAGAGAAGGATGCTTTAGATGAAGATAACTTCCAAAAGGAATCGCCCCGACGTAGAGAACAATCAAAAGAACAATTGAAATCAGAATCCAAACAAAAAAATCATGCACGGGCAGTCAACAAACATCTCGATTCCTCGACGGAGACCAGTTCAGAAGACGATTATGTGTACGCAGTGGAGAACAAAACCAAAGACCACCCAAAGACGAAAACAAACATACGGATAAATTCAACTAACATTAATTTCATTGTTGATACAGGAGCCACAGTTGATGTCATTGATTCTCAAACGTACGATCGCCTCAAATGCAGCGTAAAATTGTGCAAGAGTGCCACACAGATATTTGCTTATGGCTCGGATAAACCACTACCTCCTAAAGGTCAATTTCGTAACGTTTTCGGCAACGTTGGAGTCGAACAAACGTTATACTGTCTCGGTTATTCATATTGTCGAAGGTGGCTCTGGAAATCTACTTAGTGGCAAAACCGCTCAAGATTTCAATTGGTAAACAAAGTCACTGAACTTGAGACGCCACTGAAACCGGAAGTTTCTAAACCGGAAGTCATGTCGAAGAATATGGAAAACACCGGAAAAAGCAATAAAAGCACTGATAAAAGCCAGCCAGCGCTCGCATCAACGCCGAAATGAGCCGATGAAGATATCCAGGAAATTATTGATAAATATGCAAATGTTTTCGTTGGTGAAGGAAAATTGAACACTCAACAAGTCGGGTTGCATATTAATAAGAATATTAAACCGGTAGTTCAGCCGCAGCGCCGGATACCTTATCATATTCGCAAAGATGTATCAAAAGAGCTAGAAAAATTGATGGAGAAAGATATGATCGAAAGAGTCTGTGACCAACCTACACCCTGGATTTCGCCCGTTGTGTGCACCCAAAAGGAGGATGGCGGAACACGAATCTGTGTTGATATGAGGGCAGCCAATGAAGCGATTGAGCGCGAAAGGCATATCATGCCTACCCTTTCCGATTTTCGTGCTGAGATGAATGGATCGAAATATTTCTCAAAGATTGATCTAAAACAAGCCTACCATCAGTTAGAACTGACCGAAGAAAGTCGCTACATAACCACATTTTCGACACACGAAGGCCTCTTTCGTTACAAACGACTGAACTATGGAACAAACAGTGCACCAGAAATATTCCAGAACATTTTGCAACAACACCTTAGTGACATTCGTGAAGTAAAGAATATCGCAGATGATATAATCGTTCACGGTAAAACACGAAAGCAACACGATGAAGCGTTAGAAAACTGCTTGAAACGAATGGATCAACTCAACTTAAAAGCGAAACCCGAGAAGTGTAGTTTCCTACGCAACGAGATTAACTTCTATATGGTCTCATTTTTACACAAGACCTGATCCAGCAAGAGTAGAAAATTTGGTCAAAGCCAGAGCACCAAAGAATGCCAGCGAAGTACGCAGTTCTTTGGGTCTAGCTAACACGTGCCGAGAGTATGTTCCAGAGTATGCTGAAATTACTACACCGCTGAGGAATCTCACAAGGAAAAGTGTCGCTTTCACATGGAACAATACTAACCGAAGAGCTTTTGAGAAGATCAAAAAGAAATTGACACAAGCTCCTACTATGGCTTATTTCGATACAGAGAAAAGAAGCTTGCTTATTGTTGATGCATCGCCTTTGGAATTTGCGCAATCTTAGCACAACGAGAGAAGTCCGGAGAATTGTACCGTATTATCTCCTACGCCAGTAGAGCCCTGTCTCCAGTTGAAAGTCGATATTCTCAGACAGATATTGAAGGTTTGAGTCTAGTTTGGGGGATTGAACACTTTCGACTGTTCCTTCTGGGTAGTGAGTTCGATGTCTATACTGACCATAAAGCTCTGGAAGCAATCTTCAATAATCCGAAATCCAAGCCTCCAGCTCGTATAGAGCGCTGGATGTTACGGTTGCAACCCGTACAACTTCCGTGTGATTTACAAGAAGGAGACAATTAATGAAGCTGACTATTTGAGCCGACATCCTACCAGCACTCAAGAAAAAACCACAATCGAAGAAAAGATTGCAGATAATTATGTAAACT